TACCACTAGGCCACTGAACCAACCCCGCCATTCAGCCAAATTGGAAGGACCTTGATATGAGGTGAAAACCACATGCTGGCCACCGTAGTACTGATGCATAAGTACACATTTCTCTAGAAATTTTAGCAAAATGTATTGACCAGTTCTCTCTATGAAACTCACCTGCAGGGAATCAGGAATCATGGTAGACCTTGTATTCATCAAAACAGTAATATCCAGTCTAAGATGATGAATACAACTAAAATGATTCTCTGCAGGTGCATCTAATAGAAGGAATTGTCCATTACACCACTGTCCTACAACTCTTTCAGATAATCAACTAAATCTCGAAACATTTGATTAAACTCTTCTGTCGTAAACATAGGGTCATTCTGAACAAACATAAAGGCGTGATACGTCATGTAATTGTAGTGTGTCACTTTAACTCCCGCATCTTGTAAACGTGCCTTATACAAAACATTTTCATCTTTAAGAATATCAAATTCACATGACATCAGTAAAGTTTTGGGCAGCCCCTTCAAATTATCTGCCATCAAAGGGCTTGCTCTGTAATCAGTAAGAGCATCCAAAACAACCTCGGGAATTCCATCCAGTGGCTTTATCTGAGGTTTGCGCTGCCCCTTCTCCTCAACTCCGATGTAAGAAGAGTACTTTGTGTTCTGAAGATGCTTTGAATGACTGTGTGCCAAAAATGAAGAAACCATGTCTGGAGTTCCTGTCATGTAGTAGGACCAGTAACTTGCCATTTTGTACGTTGTTAGAAATGAAGTGCTTAGCTTTTTATAGGAAGGGAGTGAAAAGTCCATGAACTGTAGTGGGGGGTATATAAGAATCTGCAACCAGAAACAAAACCAGTATTAACTTACAGTTTTAGGTAGCACAGAAGTCGTTGTTAATTACAACTGCATTTGAGCCCAGTGGCCCATCAGGCCAGCACTTATCTACACTAGTTCCTGTATTATGAAGTAACTAAGAGTATTTCTACTCCACCCTGGATGGGATATTAGTCCATGGCAGGGTTACCCCCAGCATTAAAAGGGCTGGTTACCATTTATACACCTGGGCGGAGAGATGCACCGCGAGAGTGAAGTGTCTTACCCAAGAACACTGAACACAATGTCCCCAGCTAGGCCTCAAACCCGGACCACTTGATTCGACACCCCCTCCCCCTCCCCCCACCCGCCCTGCAGCTTCACTGGAGCTGGACTGAGGTGTCCTTACCTGAGCAGCCAGTTGTTGTTTCCCTTCATCGCGAAGCTTAAGAGCTACAGCTGCTGCTAGGTTACCACCAGCACTATCCCCGGAAACAACAAGGCGGCTAGTATCAATACCATACTTATCACCGGTGGCTAGCAAGGTCTTAACAACAGCATAGCAGTCATGGAATTGGGCAGGGAAGGTGTACTTGGGTGCCAATCTGTACCTGAAAATATCAAACGATAACAATGTCAGCTGTAGCTAAATTCTGATCCAAACCTTGATGGACTAGAGGAAACTGATGGTGTAGCAGATTGCTTGCATGTAACTATGGCTTCTTTAACACAAAGTGACTAGAAATATTTGCTACACTTCC